TACTAGATGTTGCAGAACCAAAAAAGGACAAATGAATGGATGGCATTAGGTGTTGTGTGTCCCTCCCAGGGAGTTGACGCTGTAATTAGGAAACACACGTACACAACTGACAGATGGTTAAAGCATAAGTGAAGGAGAGCTGTAATAGAGGTGGAATGATGATGAGAATGAGGAGAAAGATTAGGTTTCAGGGGGTGGGGGGTGGGGGTGGCAAAAGTGGGCCTTCGGATGACTAGGATTTTCATAGCTGTTGATGTGTGCGGGGGTCCTGCTAGTCCAAGATAAGGGCCTGAGCAAAGGCTGGACAGTAAATGCCTGTGATAGGTTTGGGGATGGTGACTTGTAGGGATATAATTGAGACAGGCAGGTATATGAGGTTGGATCGCTCTTGGAATGCCATGCCCAAAATCCTGTATAATAAAAGTTATAAAGAAATAAATGGGTTTCATTATCTGTGAGAATGGAGGCAGTTAGATCAATGACCAATAAATACTGTCTACGTTTAATCCATACAAACATTTCTATTTGAGATATATATTCTCCATGCTTGGGTCTGACTCCCCCTTGTTTTACTGTAATATAGTAATTGGCTTTGGAAGCCAGCATGGGGGTGGAGAAGGCCAGGGAAAAGGCTACTACTGATATACTATCCATAAACAATTGATAGTGCAAGATAAAAGTACACAATAGAAAAGCTGGAAAAATAGTGTTATGAAAAGGAAAGGGTTGGCATACAATGCACTTTTTTTATCTTTAGTTTTGAGGTATTTGCTGAAAGCATGGTTTATTTTCTTTCCTGCCAGTAACCTACTTAACCAACTTGCTGTTCAGATTACTGTGCGCCATGTATGACATGCATTGGTGCCACCACATGGTATTGTAATCCTAATAGAGTATCTATTGTGTGTGTAACTTTCTTATTGAAAAGGATACTGCTGAAGGGACAGGAGATCATCTGTGGCACGTGTAAATCTAATGTTAGGGTCTTACTGCTAATTCTGAGGCCGATGTAATTCCCATACCGTAAAATTCACCTTTTTAATGTATACAATTCAGTTGTTTTTAGTATATACACTAAATTGTGCAACCGTCACCACTATCTAATTCCAGAGTATTTCTGTCATACCCGCCCCCCCGAAAAAAAAGAAAGAAAGCAACCCCATACCCATTAGCAGTTACTCCCGATTCCCTGGAACCACCAATCTACTTTCTGTCTCTATGGATTTGCCTATTCTGAACATTTCATATAAATGGGATAATATATATGTGGCCTTTTGTGTGTGGCTTCTTTAAATTATAATGTTTCTGAGGTGCATCCACGTTGTTGCGTGCATCAGTACTTCATTCCTTTCTTTGACTGATTAATCTTCCATTGTATGGATAGGCTACATTTTATTATCTATTCATCAGTTGATGGACATTGGATTGTTTCCATTTTTTGGCTATTGTAAATACTGCTACTTTGAATATTCATGTACAAGTTTTTGTGTGGATGTGTTTTCATTTCTCTTAAGCATATGCCTAGGAGAGGAATTGCTGGGTCATGATGTTAACTCTGTGTTTACACCTTTTTGGGGAACCGCAGAATCGTTGCACCATTTTACCTTCCTACCAGCAGTGTATGAGACTTCTAGTTTTCCCACATCCTCAGCAACACTTGTTATTGTCTGCCTTTTTGGTTTTAGTCATCCTAGTGGGTGTGAAGTGGTGTCTCATTATAGTTTTGATTTGCATTTCACTACCTGGCCAATGATGTTGACCATTTTTGCCCATTTTTAAGTTGTTTTTTTAAAAATTATTATTGTTTAATTTAAAGAGTTCTGGATACAGGTCCTTTATCAGATATATGATTTGCAAATATTTTCTCCCATCCTGTGGGTTGTCTTTTCACTTTCTTGACAGTATCCTTTGAAGCACAAAAGTTTTAAATTTTGATGAAGTTCAGTTTACCTAATTTTTCTTCTGTTGCTTGGGTTTTGAGCTTCATATTGAGTTATTTTTAATATAATCTGAGTTACAGAAAAATTTAAGAAGCACTTGTCCTTAAGGTCTGGTGGATAGCAGTATTTGATGAAACTTTAAAAGAAAATCATTTCTATTTCATTTCAATTAAGGCATTCAGTCAAGCTAGGCTTTAAGTGAAAATGAAGCTTTAAAAAATACTTTTGAGTCTGCCAACCCCTGCCCAAATTGCAGATTCAAGAGCAAAATAAATTATTTTGGTTGCTTTAAAAAATACACATTTGACATTAAAAAAAGCAGTATGAATTTGCAACCAAATCAGGACTTTGAAGACTGAACTCGGTATTGATTATTCGAGGTTTTCTTGCAGACTTTCATGTTAACCTGTGAGCTTTTACATGGTGTCATCACGGTGTGCACGTTCTTCAAGTTTATCACTTAACAATGTATTTCTACAGACCCGAGTCTCCATGTCTCCTCAAGGGCGGCAGACGATCCCCAATTATGCATTTAGGTCATTTCCATTTGCCCCACTGGGAAAGTCCTTCCTTCCTTCCTTCCTTCCTTTCCCTCCCTTCCTTTCTTTCAAGATGGTTTTAGAATGGTATGGGGATGTATTTTTTGGTAGAGTCTAGAAAACTGACAACTCAGGGAAAAGTCTGGGCATTTTTGTCATGGTATAATACATTTCCATTAATTGAATCTTTTTAGAGAGCTTGTTTCATTATAAAAATGAAATTGCCATGGGACTTCCCTGGTGGTGCAGTGGATAGGACTCCGTGCTCCCAATGCAGGGGGCCCAGGTTTGATCCCTGGTCAGGGAACTAGATCCCACATGCATGCCGCAATTAAGAGTTCGCGTGCCACAACTAAGGAGCCCACGTGCTGCAACCAAGACCGCACGCATGCAAATAACTATCTAAAAAAATGAAATTGCCATGATAGGCATGCTGATTTCAGTATTGTCTCTGCACATAGAGGTACGTTTAGGGTGTGCTAGGAGCGCAGGGGAAGGGCTTCACGGGGAGACGAGGTCTAGCTGCATCTCCAAGGGTGAGCAGGAGTTCGCCGCCCACCAGAGAGCAGGAGGAAGGGTTTGTAGTGAATATCCTACTGCAGTCTCAAGTACGAGGCCCAACCACCGCAGTTTTCAACCCCAGAGCTCGCTGATACCATTGGTATTGACAGTTGAGAGGGATCGTAAGGGATCCATCGCAGCTCTACCCGAGGCCTCCCTCCTGCCCTCGCCACAGTCTGCTTTTGATCGCAGCCAGCTACCTTTCTGGACTCCGCATCTGTTCAGGTTGTGGGCTGCAGAAGCCATTTCAGGGCTCTGCTCACTCCGAGGGTGTCAGCAGAAATCCTTCCGTGGCTGCTGAGGCCCTGCCCCTCCAGTCCCGTCGTCACAGCTTGCTCCGCTCTCCGCGGCTCCAGGTGTTTGGCCCACCCTGGGCTCTCCCAGGACGTGCGGGGTGCCTTGGCAGGGCCTTCGCACCACTGGTCCCGCTTCCTGGTTCTGGCCCCTCCCCCTTCTCACAGGTTCCTCCTCCTGCTGCTGAGCTTTGTCGGTGGTCAGACCAAATCCCACAGCAGTGGACTCAGCCTTTGGGGAGGCTGGTCCTAAGGACACCGTGCGCCTGACATGGTCATGGAGACGCTGCTTTTGAACAGCCCACGCTGGAGACTGGTGCATAGTCTCGCGCTAACGCAGGTGAACACTGCCGGTGGTCCTCTGGCCTTGGAAGTTACCACTTTCTTTAACTGAGCGGCAGGTGAAGTAGCTCTCTGTGTTACAGGATCGTGTTGGATGAAAATGTAATTCCCTTGATAGCTGGAATCACGCAGCTCCGTGCGATGCTCACACCTGGGGCCTGGTCGGACCTAGGGAGCCGCAGGGGCATAATCCCTGCACTGTTTAAGCTGTTCTTTGGGTTTTGGTTGGGTGTTGTACTCTATAGCACATACCTCTCATCTGTAAGACTTGCATCAGTTGTAACACAAGAGGGTTTGTGCCCGGATTGTCAGCTCCCCCAACTACTAGCCCCACCTGCCAGGGCCTGAGTGTGGCCTGCATCCTGAGTGCCTGGCCCGGGGAGGCACACACTGAGGACTCCTGCAGAACTGCTTTCCCACCTGCTCCACACGCTTCTGGGAGGCGCCGCAGGGTTCTGCAGATGTGTGATTGCAATTGCATTTAAAACATGTTCAAACTGTGGAAACTCTAATAGAACTCAGATGTGCTTTATCTATGTGTCAGTGGATTGAATACTAGTAGTTCTGTCAGATTAACTTGTTTTTGTGCAGGTCTCGAAATAAAGCAAGCAAGTGGAAGACGCTTGCCATTGCTACCCCTTCTTTTCATTGTACGTACGAGAGTAACAGGAGAACCCTCTGAAATAAATGCAAAGGCAGCCGAGACTGCCGCGCCTGTGGGTTAACTACTGCGCTTTGGAGTCGGTCGCATTCCGATCTCACTCCCCCCGTGCCCCCCCCACTAGCTGTGTGAGCTCAAGCAAGGACCGTAACGTCTCTGAGTTAGTCTTCATCCATAGGGTAGGGATAATGAGAGGCTTGTGAGGAGTGAACACAGTGAAGCAGAGTCAGTGGCTTGCAGGGCTCAGTCAGTGTTAGCGTGGTGATGGTGGTGATTTTATCCTTAACCCCCAAATATCAAGATTCTGAAGGGTAGCATTTTTTTCATCGATTGAATTTATAAGTTGAAGGCTGCTTTATGTAAGTCCCACAAAAATGCCCTTTGCTTTTAAAAAAGGGAGGGACAGGGGTTTGGAACTGTGGGTTTAGACCGAAAGAGGCTAGTACTTCAGCACAGCTCTGCCTACTCGGCACAGGAAACCTTCACCCCGAATTTGGTCTGTAGGACTGGGATCCTTTGGCTTCCTAATGTCTGCCTGCATTGCCCTCTCATTTGTTCTGCCCATGACTCTTCTGAAATTTGACTGAAGAAATGGCCATAAAAGAACTCTACCTAGTTTCTGTAAAACTCCCAGTAAAGACTTCTTCATGCGTCCATTCCACAGAAACTCCCTGCACTCCTATAATGAGCCTGGCACAGTGGTGAACCGCTTTCCCTGTTGTCCATGTCCAAGTGGATCTCCCCGACAGCCCTAGAGGTAGGTACTGCTGTCACCAGAGTCCCCAGAGCTGCAGGATGTCAAATAGCTTGTCCACAAGTCTGTGCTCTTGGCCTTTGGCACAGGGAACCAGTTCTCCTTTCTGACGGTGGGCCTCCATTCGCTCACAAAGTTTCCTCTGTCTGCCTTGGCTGCCCAGAAAGAAGCTTCACGAAATTCTGCACTGCCGTTAGTCTTTGCCTGACGTTTCCTGTGTCACATTGGGTGCCTCTCCCTTGAGTGGTCCTTCTTTTTTCCTTCTTTGTGTTAGCTTTATTCTGTGGAATATGGTTGTTCTGAACCACTCAAAATTTGGGCAGATTTTGAATAATTTATATTTTACATTTCATCTTAACCAAATTTTACAGCTGTCTAAATGGGATACTTAGAAAGGTAGGATGGGTGGGGGCAGGTGAAAAACTTGTTGGAAAACAACAATGGTTAAAGTGTAGTATTTGATTCTAGGGCTATTTTTAGGCTGAGAAAGGTCATGGGCAGCTTTCAGGTGTAGTTTTCCTTTTAAATTAAGAATCTAGCTACTAATGGAAGTCAGACATTTCTTTTGCATTTTAATTCTTGTGTTTACTCTTAAAGTTATGAAAACAGATTGAATGTACATTGCTAAGGTGTGCTTTATGATTTTTTCTTTGCAGATGATGATGTTTGAACTGAACAATTAAGGTAAGATTATGGCTTATGTGACATGCTTTTCTTATGCATATTTCTTTGTAGGGTTTAGCTGATTGCTAAAGTCATGTTTTAGCTTGGGTGAAGAATATTGCCTTTGGGCAGTCCTTCTAAACTGGAGTATAAAAGGCCTTCATATTACATTTTAAGGTAAGTTTTGAAAAGAACGTATCAGGATACCTTTATTCATTCAGCTTATACTAAAGAAGTTTCAAAGCATTTTACTGTTTTCAGAGAAGAAAAAGGGAACATTTTTAATGTTCATAAACTCATTATGTTAATGTAGAGATTGCATGAAGCTAGCTTTTGTTAGATGTCAGTGGGAAATAAGATAGTTTGTATAATTATCTATATCACCATGCATGTTTATATTCAATGCTGCAGTTAGACTCGGAGAGCTGTTTGTGTCTGCATTAGTTGTTTGAGCAAATGCCAACGTACCCCCAAATAGGATATCTGGGAGGCCCCAAACTATAGATGAGAAATGTAAAAAATTGTACCCTATTTCCTGGTGTGTGGGTCTAGCATATCCCAAATTTGTTTGCTCAGAATAAGGGCACAAACTAGGAAATCCCACATTATTATGAAAAAAGAAAAGAACTGTGAAAGTGTCCTGATAGAGTTAATGAATTACAAATCTCAAGGAATTTCTAAGACTTAATTTGGTAGATGTATGTAACCACACATCTGGGTGGAGGTTGTCAGATTGCACAGTCTGGTTTATAATTTGATGTACAGATCCTAACAAGTTGATGCTGTACAATGAAACTTTGTGTCCAGTGAGGCAGTTAGAGACTTATTAAAATCCTGAGATAAATGATAGACTAGAATTCAGCACATCTGTTACACCCTTGTAACACAACGTGGAACGTCTGTGTTTATGTATCTTCAAAATCGTGGGAAAGGAACAATCTTGGGATGGGGGGCTGCTGGGGGAGGTTCCCAGTGTGGGGGATGACTGTGCTGAGCGGTTCTGAGGGCCCCGCGGTTAGTTCGTGAAGCGGGGCTGGGTTCGCCAGCAGAGCGAGCAGCACGTGTCGGGACGAAGGCAAGGGCGAGCGTGAGGGCTGAGCCCGTGGATCTGAGTTTCACTTCCCTGTAACAGTGCGTTTCTGAATGGCTGATGCCAGGAATGGGGAGCAGGGTCAGGTGTCTTGCCTTAGAAGTTGGCCTTAGAACTGAATCTCTGGAGAAGCACTGAAGAATGTTAAGGAGGGAGCATTAGATGCTTTCCTTATGTCAGAATAGTTGGTGTGCTGTTTTGGTTTTGCTACTCTTTTTTTCTAAGTTGAAGTCGTGTAATCAAGATTCCAAAGAATTAAACAAAGGAACCGATTTAGTGCACTGTTACTATGTCAGGAAATTAAAGGGCTTGAGATAGTTTGAGTTTCCTCCCTAACATTAATTTAGCCGGGGCATTGGGCAGAGCCATCCACTGAAGTCGAAAAGTCTCCAAGTAGTACGCACTTTAACTGCCTCACACTTTTGTTGGCCAATTTAAATTGTATTAATTATAGTAGTAATTACTGTAGTAATTTAAAAACACCAATAAGAGTTAGGGATGAGTTGCCACATATTTATAAGAATAGTGTGTAGCATGTAGTAGGAAATGCAGAATTCTTGCACGTTATGGGAATTGTTCAGTTACATTATACTGGGTCATACTTGCATTTAACCAGGCGATTGCCAGATAATGTTTGTTTACTGCAGTGATTTTGCAAATTCATCCTAGTCAATACAACAATTATTGTTCATGCCTTTATTACCTTCCCATTGAGGGATTCACAATATCTACTTTCATGTTAAAGTTAATTACCAATTTTGCTCTAGGGCTGTGCTGTCCAATACAGCTGTTGACTCTTTAAATGTGACTATTCAAATTAGTGAAAATAATATAAAATATTATTTTATATAAATTCATTTATATATATGTATATAATTATATAAAATATAATTTTATATAAATTCATTTTCATTTTATATAAATTCATTTCCTAGCTCCCACTAGCCACTTGTGGGTAGTGGCTGACAGTCCAGATGGAGGACATCTCCATCATTGCAGAAAATTCTGTTAGTGCTACTCTAAAGGTTGTCTTCCTTTACAAATATCTTAAAAGCCATGTAATACTGAAATATTTACAGTTTCAATGATATAATTTGATTCAGAATAATTGGGCAGAAGGAGAATGGGACGCTGTGGAGGAAACAAGATTTGCTGTAAGTTGATAATTGGTGAAGCTAGGTTTAGGGTCTGTGAGGTGTCATCATATTATTCTCATTATTCAGAAATTGTGTATGTTTGAAAATTTTCATAATAAAGAATTAAAACAGAAGCCTTAAATAGGAACAGTGCTCCCACCAGCCTACAAAAGGGCGTCTGAATCTCCGTACCCCCCCAGCCCCCCCCAGGGGACTGGTGGTGGGGAGGGGGAGTTAGTCCTGCCCCAGGGCTTCCCCTAAAGGGTACGCATGGTACCACATTTTTGTTTAATGTTCATTTCATTCCCCCTCGAAACACACGAGTAACAGCCCAGGCTCACATTTGTTCAGAAGAGTTGGAGCTGCCCAAATGAATCTTGTGGGTAGAATGTGCTAGGTTATAATATTATATCAAAAATTCGAGTGGTGCTGACATTAATGTTAGCCAACTCAAAATAGTGTTCCTAATGAAAAGAATAGAGTCCTTTACTCGGTGGTTGGCTTCGGTCTGTTCACAGCCAGATCAGTCAGTTCTGTCTCTGGTTTCCTGCTTACCAGCTCCTATGGTGATGGCGCTGGGAGAGAGAAAGGGGGGGTTGTCTAGAAACCCGCTGGCCTGAGAGGAAAGCCATCAGTGAACACTGTCACCATGCCACCAGAGGGCTGTTTGCAGTTGCTACAGAAACGTGCCCACTTCGGTGTCCTACTGCATCTCTAACAGATGGTGGCAGGGCTTATTGTGAGCCAAGAGGAACGGTTGAGAGGACAGTCTTTGGGGTCAGACTTGGCCTTGAGTGCTAGCGTCAGTCAACGGTGACCCGAAGAAGGGGAAGAATGAGCCCTCAGCAGCTGTCAGAGAGAGTGACGGTTGGGTGGTGCCTGGCACGAGGTGGAGGGCTCAGTAGGTGACATCTCTTGCCGTCCGGTATTCCCTGTGCAGAAAGGAATTGGGGCTCTGTGTTTTATTTCCCTTAGACACTGACATTCATAGAGGCATGTAGAACCATGTACAGGTCTAAAGGAATGTAATGGTACCCTTTTATTTTACAGGGTTCCGAAATCAGAGATCTTGAGATTAAAAATGGCAGGAAAATCATCGCTTTTTAAAGTAATTCTCCTTGGAGATGGTGGAGTTGGGAAGAGTTCTCTAATGAACAGATATGTGACTAATAAGTTTGATGCCCAACTCTTCCATACAATAGGTGTGGAATTTTTAAATAAAGATTTGGAGGTGGATGGACATTTTGTTACCATGCAGATTTGGGACACCGCCGGTCAAGAGCGGTTCAGAAGCCTGAGGACGCCATTTTACAGAGGTTCTGACTGTTGCCTGCTTACATTTAGCGTCGATGATTCTCAAAGCTTCCAGAATTTGAGTAACTGGAAGAAAGAATTCATATATTATGCTGATGTGAAAGAGCCCGAAAGCTTTCCTTTTGTGATTTTGGGTAACAAGGTTGACATCAGCGAGCGGCAGGTGTCTGCAGAAGAAGCTCAAGCCTGGTGCAGGGACAACGGCGACTATCCTTACTTTGAAACAAGTGCAAAAGATGCCACGAATGTTGCAGCGGCCTTTGAGGAAGCAGTTCGAAGAGTGCTTGCTACCGAGGATAGGTCAGATCACTTGATTCAGACAGACACGGTCAGTCTGCACCGAAAGCCCAAGCCCAGCTCATCTTGCTGTTGAAGTTCGAGAGGTTGCCCTTGCGATCTAACCAGGTCACACACATGCACAGATAAGCACAGGGAGGAGACAAGAATTTGTGTTTGCAGCAATGGATCGTGTACTCATAAAATTAAACTAACCATATTGCTGCCTTGTTAGTGGGTGGGAGAAGGGACACATCCACTCACAGGAGAATCTCTTTACGCAGTAATGGCACCTTACCTTTATAAGTTGTAACGGTTGTCTAATAATGTTTAATTTAAATATGTATGTCACAGAGCTAATAAATGAGATGACCAAGACTTTATAATTAAAACAAAACACTTGAGTATTCTAGAAGTTACTGTTTTTTCCCCGGGAAAATGGAGAACTACTTTTTCTATGTGTATATTTTTATGTAATTAGCACTCTGTTCCTGGTTCAGGGAAAACATGTCCTAAAGCAATAATGTTAGATATTAAAGATTAAAATCCAGTGCATTTGCCGTGTAGTCATGTGATTTGAGGATGTGTTCATTCGGTTTAGAATTATGTGCGTGTTCGCTTTTTCATTCTACGTATCAGGATTGATCTCACTTGTAATCACTTGTCGTTTGTGTGCCCCCCTCAACCCCCAACACAGAAGCCGGCTTTATCACTCTTGGAGGAGGTACTGCTTCTGGATTGTACTGTGTGTGCGGGTAAATGAAGACATCTTTATTTGGTCATGTATTTATTCTGTGTCTTCTACGTCACTGAGCTTTGTTTAGTGATTTGGTCTCAAGGAGATTTTTCGTCATTCTGCTGCAATGAGCAGCCTTATTGATAGAGCAAGTTGTGGTCTTTCGTGGGTAAAGTGCACCCACTGCGCCATTCATGCCGATCCCATCCCGCAGAGGCACACCAATGCCAGGCGCACGTGTTAGAGAGGACAGGACCCTTGGCTGTGGAGCGGTGGGTTATCAAGCGACAAGCTTTGGGGGGGCTGTCCTGTGCGGGGGAGTACATTTCGGAACAGCTAGGTTGAGAGATTTCTCTCCCTGGCCCTGCTCCTTGGAACCACTTGACACAGAACGCCAATACAGTAAGCTCAGCTTTTGAAAATCTAATTTCCTAACACAACAGATTTGGCTCTAAGCAAAACATTTTCACATTTTAAATCTGGGGAAATTAAATCTCCTTATAGTCTCAGGTTAGAGAGAGCTGTAGTTTTTATTATTTATAATCAATTCCGCCCCGCCCCACCAAACTATAATCCTCCATTCAGAAAACAAAATAGGAATCCACCATTAAGAAACGAGTGTGTATTATATATTCCCTTTGTTTTTTTCTCTAGGGGACATGCTTTGTTATTTTAAATCGTGTACTCATTGTTTTGTGACTTGCCCTTTTCTCTCAGTCTGTCTGGGTATATGTCCATTATATAGTAGATCTACCTCATTTATCTGCTGCATGGATGTCTAACAGTTTATTCAAACCGTTCTCTGCTGATAGCTAGCTAGCAGTAGTATATTAAAGTTTCCCACACCTTGCTCACCAGTGGATGTTAGGAGTACTTTTTTTATCATTTGAATAGATGATAGAGTCACACGGTTGAACATTATAAGGCACAAGGGACAAATATCTACCCTTGCCACCGAGTTCCTGCACGTGGAGGCAGCCGTGTGTCAGTTTCTTGGGTATCCGTCTAGATTTTTAGTATGTAAGGGAAGCATATTGTGTTAGTTCACTACTGCTGCCATAACATGCATACCCGGTGGTTTAAACAATAGGGATTTCTTTTCTCACAGTTCTGGAGGCTAGAGGTCCAAGATCAAGGTGTTGATAGGTTTAGTTTTTCCTGAGTCCTCTCTCCATGGCTTGCAGGGGATCTTTCCTCTGCACACACTCCACACACACACACACACACACACACACACACACACACACCGTCTCTCTGTGTCCAGATTTCCTCCTCTTATAAGAACACCAGTGAGACTGGATTAAGGGACCACCCTAATGGGCTCAATTGAACTCACATTAACTCCTTAAAGGGCCTGTCTCCAAATACAGTTACGTTCTGAGGGACTGGGGGCTAGGTCTGTTGATAATGAATTTTGGGTGGCGGGGGACACAATTCAGCTCATTACACGTCTGTGTGTGTGTGTGTGTGTAGGTATTTACAAAATGTATAATTTTGATACTTGTGTAGATTTAACTAGTACCTTAGTGGTTTTTCTAAACTTTGAAGCATCTTTTCAATAACCTCTTTTTCAGCTAAATATTCAGGGATTAGATTAGTTGGCATTCCAGAGGTCTAGAGCTGGGCAGCGAAAAAGGATCAAAGGACCGAATCCTCGTGCTTTAGACAGGCTGACGGAAGGGAGAGTAATGGAGCTTCACAGCGTGACTTAAAGGGACCCAGTGAACAGAGGCTGACCAAACCCAGTACTGAAATGGGACGAGAGGAGGAGGAACAGGACCTGACTGACTAGCTTCCTCCTTCACAGCAACGACAACTCGTTCACCTGACGGAGGAGCTCTTCAGACAGCAGCAGAAGGTAGCTGAAAATCTGAATCTTTTAAGAAAGTAACACGGGCTTTGCCTGGCTGGTGTTACTTACACAAAGATGAGAACTAGGGAAAAAGTGAGAGCTGGGGAGCAAAGCAGGCCACCGCAGTTGCGCGGCAAGAGGGGCGGAGCAGCTGCGGAGCAGGCGGGAGGGAAGGAGCGCGCTGTCCCGTTCAGGGCCGGGCCCCAGTGTTAGGGGCCGGCGGCTGCCGCCGTGATGACAGGTGCTTTCGTGCTGTCTGCGCATGTAAAGCCTTGGAGACAGAGTTCAGGGTTAAGAAAAAGGCAAACTACTGAACTTGGGAGGATGGACAGATGTACACTTGCCAGTCGATGTAGCAATTACAATGTGCCGCGTGGAAGATGGAAAAATGCACGTTCCTCAGTGAATTACTGCTTTTGTGACCTTCTTCCCCCTTGGGGAAAACTCCCTAGTTGAAGTGAAAACATCCTAGATGGTCCTCATGTTAAAACCTGGCGTTTTACATTTCTATAAAACCTTGTGTAAGCTTTCACTTCAATAGCATGACCCTGTGATGCCAGTTCCATCCACAGTGCCAGCGGCTTGTGGGGCAAGGAAGCGTTAGGTAGAAAAGAGGATCTTTGTAGTCAGTGGATTCTGAGAAGTTACCACCGTGGACTGTCAACCAGGAAGTGCTGTCGTGACCATAAAGTGAAAGGACACGGGTGTAGCAGGGTGGAGGAGAGACCAAAGGTCTCTACATACATGGAGAACGTGGGCACCACCAAAGCATCCTAGGCAATGGAAGAGGACCAAACCCGATTTGTGCATTCTATTTGGATCACTTCGGGAGTGCTAACGTAGATTACAGGTTTAATACTGACTTGCGTGTGCTCAGTGGAGCCTGATGCCCTGGGTGCTACTGATGTCCCCCAGTTGGTCTTGTGTTCCAGAGCTTTAAGTGACGGTCACCTACTACCAGATCTGAGTTTTGCCGGCTCTTTTGCCGTTTTTTGTTTTGTTTTGTTTTGTTTTTTGCGGTACGCGGGCCTCCCACTGTTGGGGCCTCTCCCGTTGCGGAGCACAGGCTCCGGACGCGCAGGCCCAGTGGCCATGGCTCACGGGCCCAGCCGCTCCGCGGCATGTGGGATCTTCCCGGACCGGGGCACGAACCCATGTCCCCTGCATCGGCAGGCGGACTCTCAACCACTGCGCCATCAGGGAAGCCCTTCTTTTGCTTTTTTAATGGTCAGCGCCTGGTTTTCCCCTTGTACCAGCCCTGGTTCCATCCTTTGGGCTGTCCTATCCGTGTGCCCACAGGCTTTCCCAGCACGGCCCTCCTTTGAGGTCCTACCCACTCCTACGCTCATCACTGAATCTGCCTTCATGCTCCTTCAGAGGCAGTCATACGTGAAATCTGACACTTAACTACACTGATCTACTCCCATGGGGCCTCTGTTATTCGTTCCCATCTCACCATCACAAGCCTGGTGCCAAGGCTGTTTGCAGGGCACTGCTGTTGTGTGGCTGAGCTGGGATCCAAACCATCTCCATGCTACAGCCTCCTGAAGCACCACGCCACTACTCCTCACTGGAGCATTGCCACCCTCTGCACTACATGCTCATTGAGGGCAGAGCAAACTGTATACAGTAAGTACATGTGTGGGTCTCTCCAATTAGCATGGCGGACATCACTCCTGGATTTCTAGCTGAGTATCTCTTTTCTGCTCCGGCACCTAAGTTTGAGGCGATTTGAATCCTGTAAAATGAGTTGCAATATATGTTAATATGCAGACTTTCATTAGGGGAAACAGGACTAAAATGGTAGTAGTAGTGGTGGGGTGAGTAGCACTTAAAAAATTCAATATTGGGACTCCCCTGGCGGTCCAGTGGTTAGGGCTCGGCGTTTTCACTGCCGGGGCCCGTGTTTGATCCCTGGTCAGGGAACTAAGATCCTGCAAGCCGCGCGGGGTGGCCAAAAAAAAAAGAATTAAAAAAATCGATATTAAACTTCCATAATCTTGGACAAACATCTTTATTTAGGAAATCAAATAAATATGGTAAAAAATTATGCTAGCAACTTCACGCAAAGATACAGGACCAAACTTAGAATTACTTGCTCAGGTTATTCAGAATGGAACAAAATTCTTCAGGTGCTCACCATTAGCACAGAAAATAACGCGGTTATATTACTTGCTTTTCAATGGACATTTACTGGTTTACCGTAAGATCCCACGCTCTTACAGTACAAAAGAGAGGCCACTCCTGCCCCCTCCGGTATACAGCCTAAGTGGCCAAGATGGCCAAGAGCGCAAGTGTTAATGTGATGCAAGCTTTTCTTTGTTTACAATTCTAAAACTGCCTTACAACTGTTTACTAGTACAGCTATCAACGGGTTCACTTAATCTTTAGTTTACTGTCTGAGGGAAAGGAAACATAAGAACATAACCTGTCACTTTGGTCCTAGCCTCCCACTTGACAAACATGGATCCAGGATTCTAGGATTACAGCAGGATCACTGTTCCCAGTCTCCGACAGGGGCAGACCTGTGGCACTTGGCACTGCAAAGCTGTCTGCTCTGGCTTCTTGGCTTCTTAGTGTACATATACTACTTCTGTGTATACTACCTATACCTTTTCATAACATCTCTAGATGTATAGATGAACCCATGTATGTGCTATCAACTTCATTCCCTACTGCAGAAGCTTTTGGGTTTAAATCTGCCTCTACCAAATCTTGACCATGACATTCGGTTCAGGATTGTTACAACAAGATCAAGCTATCTGAATAAGGAAAGTCAAAAGCTTATTCTCAATTTTTAAAATAAAAATACTTCAAGCTTACTGATAAAGAGCTCTTCATAAATAACACTGTTCACAAGCAAATAACAATCTGTTGATAATCATAAGAAACTGAATATGCTATTTTTAAATATAAAAGCAATTTCATTAGGTTTAGATAAATTGAGACTACAACTAAAATTTTTCCATGCTGTTTAA